TGCACCAGCTACCCTGCTATTTAATGCTTGCTGCTTGCTCTGGTCCCAGTGTAAGGAAGGAGAGGAAAGGAAAAAACAAACAGAGAATCTTGACAAGCTGGCTGACTCACAGGAGGTTTCATGCCCAGTGGTTTCAAGGGGAGTGAAAAAAGAGCAGCCTTTTAACCTAGGAGCTCCAGGCCATGCACCACTCATAATAGTAAAGAAAAAAGGAGAAAAGGGAAAAAGCTAAGAAGCTTGGCATTTTGGCTGACTCACAGGAGGTTTCTTGCCCAGTGGTTTCCCATCTCTACCCTTTGGTTTTACCCCTCAATGCAACAAAATGACAATATTTCACATTTCCCTACTTGTGCCTTATAGGGTGTCATATCTATTGGGAGTGAGGCATTCATGTACATATTGAGTAATCAGTGGGAGTTGGCAGTAGAAAAATAAGCCATCCTTTGTTGTTTTTCCCTCTATCTCTTCCTGAGACAATAAGTATGTTTCCCCCCTTTACTTTATGTAGTAATGAATCCAGAGTAAATATGCCTGCTTTTAACCACATGTTCATACTGCACTGACCCTTAACACTGTGCTAGCACATATTCTTAGAAGCATTGTTTTTATTAAACAGAAGGATTTTTTTTAAAGAAAAAGAAAACCAAGCAAACTATAGACTAGGTGTGCTTAGTTTAGTGATAAATATGGTTGCAATCAATTATTATTCTTGGCTCATGTTCTGAATTTTTATAGGTTTTTTTTTTGGCAACTGTTGCATTCCATCCTTTTTATTATTGTGAACATCAGGTTTTAAGTAAAGGATTTGTAAATTACACAGTCCCATAGAGATCAAATTTACATGTATTTGGTTTTTTGTAAACTATTTTTAATAACTCTTATAGACCATAATATTGGGGCTAAGCAGACGGAGCTTTGCACCATCTTCAAAGCAAGAAAGGGGAGGGGCAGCCACAACCCCTTCCTCAAAACGTCCTTGGAGCAGCCAGCCCTCTGCACAGTTGGCGCTCTGAGGATGCCTTTCCGCTGCAGCGTCTGCACACGCTGCAGCAGAAAAGCCGCCGAAGGTGCGCCGGCAGCCTTTTGTGGTGCACCTGCGGTGATTTGTGGAAGGAGTGCTATTTTAGCACTCCTTCCAGGGGCAGCAAAGCTGCGCCGTGGGGCCGAGGAATGGGGATACCTCAGCCCTGATACGCAGCTTCCTGGGGTGGCCCCGTGCCGCCTGTCTGCTTCCCCTGATTATTAGGAAAAGTTTTGCATGTGGATTCTGTGACTTTGCTAGAAAAATATATATATAAAAAGAAATCTGCTTTAGACTGGAATATGTGTATAAATAAAATGTGGCTTGACTAGTCTGTTATCATAAGTATGTACAATTCCATTGTGGATGACTTGGAATGGGATGATAGCAGGTGTAGCTGGAATAGGGGAACCTTATAGAAGGAATCAGCTTTTTCTCCTTACAGAAAAAACAAAATCTTCAGCAGTAAACCTTTAATATTGCTGGCAAAGTAATGTTACTTTTCTATACATGAATAATATTCTTACTTTATGTTTCTGTCTCCCAGTCTCTCTCTCCCCCCCCCCAATTTGAAAACAAAATGAAGTGAAAAATAAAAATGCTTGGGGGTTGCACACAAAGAAAGCAAAACCTTGACCTAGGAAACATATGAAAAGGTTGTGCATTGAAAGAAGGCATCAAGAAGGCACTTTTTAAAAAGGGCTAAGGGGGGAAAGCCATTCTTAATTTCTGATCCATTATTTAAGTTCTGGTTGATTATTTATTTATTCCAAAGGGATATACAAGAAGGAAATGAAAAAGATGAAAAAGAACATTATTGAAAAAGAGGTTAAATGATTCTTAAACACACGTTTTAAAGCTGGCATTTTAAAAACATATTTTTGAAGTGTATAATTACATGGACACCAGAATAAGTAACCACCTGGTACGCAAGCGTATGTTCAATTGTATGTCTGGAAATGAATCACATTGAGGAGGGGGAGGCAATTTACAGGAAAAGCTTCTCATATAGTACATCTGTCATGTGGAGACAATTTCAAGGGGTCACAGCATTGGCAGAGAAAGGCTCTTATGTAGAAAAGAGTTTGAACAAATATCACAAAATACCACCACACATTTCTGAAGGGCAGTCTGCTGAAGTCAAGGATTAAGAGTTTAGCTTCATTAAGTAGATTATATCTAAATATAATGCAGAGTTTCTCTGTATAACTGACATTAGAGACAATTTTCTCTTTAAAAACTATATCTGAGTTATGATTCTTTGCAGTAGAACATAGGAGATTATTGCATTACTAATAAACCTGATTTACCTCTTCTGAGTTAAATTCGAATTTGGGATGCAGCCAGTATTACTGCATGGATTTTGCCACTGTTGCAACCTCCTGACTGCATCCCTGCAAAAATCCAGCTAAAATCTGCCCCCATCTGGCCTCTTTGCAAAGTCGGGAGCTTTCTGGCTTTACAAATCGGCCAGCTGAGGTCAGATTTTATCCGGATAGTCATAAGCAGCTTCTATACGCCCAACAAAGCTGAATCAAGCAATTTGCCAATTTAATTTCTGGTCCCTTTTTATATGCTTTGTTCTTGAAGAAGCCTTCCAAATGTTAGTACTTCTTTATCCTTTTTCTTCACATCGACCTGGCCCCTCATCTGAACATAAGGATATTCTGGAAAATGGTGTGTTTCCTTCTTTATAAAATTCAGAGTTTTTTTTTAAAAAAAAAGAAATGCAGAATTAACTCAGTAATACACACTGAATATTATGACAGACTTTAAAATAGATGCAGTAAGGAGGAAATGGTCAGGCTGGGCTTTGGCATGTTTCTAGCAGCAGCTGCAGGTCAATACTCATAAAGGGATAACCAGTAATGGCTTCCCACATAGGCAAGCATGTTTGCATTAGACAGTTATCAATGATCTATTGATTCTCAGGGCCAGGGAAAATTTGGGCTGTGCTGCTGCTGTCTTGAGTCATAAATGTGTGCAGTTTCTCTGCTAACGAAAGCCCATGGACTTAACCTGTGCCCAGAGCAGCTGAGGCAACCCCTGCAGGACCTCATGTTTGGTGTCTCCACATGCAAACATTATTACCTCTTTAGCAGGAATTTGAATGATATGGATTCATATAAAGTAAGACTTTATCCTTAAGACTGCAACAATTGAAAGTATTCCTTTAAAGTCCTTTATCATGAACAAAGCAACTATTGAGCTGAAGCAGATGAGAGGCTTGGAGTGGCCTCTGGCTGCTCCTGCTGCAAGTGAGCCCCAATCGGCACAGGGCTGCAGAGACCAAATGGAACAGGACTGCGGTGTCTCGCTGCTACCGCAGCCTGCAATAGACACTGACAAGGAATGTTTTTTCCCCCAGCTCCTTTTGCATCCAGGTTTGGGCTGCCTTAGACATCCTCAGGACAGCTTCTGGCCAATCCGGATGCATAGGTAATCTGCACACACCTCCCCTAATGCATCCAGAAGCTGCTCTTTCTTGTCACTGTACATACTATTCCTGCCAAGGAAAATACATAAAGGTAAAGGTAAAGGTATTCTCCTTTGACAAGATTGTCAAGTCGTGTCCAACAACAAGGGGTCATTTCCTTTACTAAGCCAAAGAGCCAGCATTGTCAAAGACTACTCTGTGATCATGTGGCCAGCATGACTGCACAGAACTCTGTTTACCTTCCCACCAAAGTGGTATCTATTTATCTACTTGCATTTGCATGCTTTTGAACTGCAGAAACTGGGACTAGTGATGGGAGCTCACCCCATCATGCAGCGCTTAGCCTCTAACTGCCAACCTGCTGATCTTGCAGTCAACACAGTCAGTGTCTTAACTGCTGAGCTGCTGCATCCCTTTAAAGAAGAATACAACAGACAGAGAAACATAGTAAATTTTTTTTTAATTTTATTTGTTATACCAATGACTTTTTGTTAATAGTTGAGGCATTACATTCTCTTTCTTTCTTTCTTCTTTTTTTTTTTTTTAAAAATCAAACTGCTTGTTCAAGCAGCATGAGCTATAAACTAAATATGGGTCTAAATTATATTTCATTTTCAAATATATTGGATTTCTCTCCCCCTTGCCACCCACATACCACACTCACAAATCAGTGACAATCAAGACCAGGGGTAGGCAACTTTTCCCCTTTAAGGGCCGAGGGACTTCAGCTCCCAGAAGCCTCAGCCATGCTGGCCAATAGTCCCATGTTGGCCAATAGCTCCTGGGATTCTGGGAGCTGAAGTCCCTCGGCCCTTAAAGGGGAAAGGTTGCCTACCCCTGTTGTAAACTGTTCTGAATTGTATTTAACACTGAGGTTTGACAGGGTTTGGGCCATTAAAGTCCAGGGTATTATAGCAATATTACACTCGGACGATGACAATGGCAAACCCCCTCTAAAGAAACTTGCCAAGAAAATCCTATGGTAGGTTTGCCTTAGGGTCACCATAAGTTAAAAATGACTTGGTGGTACACTACGACAACAAATATCATTGCAACTTTAAAAAAACATATTAAAGTGAGAAAACTCTTGTGTCAGTATGCTTTTGGAGACCTGATATCTGTCACTTCATACTATGGCTTTCCAATGGGTAGCCTTGAGACTCTAGACCACATATATATCAGTACAAGCAAGAGTATGCAAATACTTGTTTTCTTTTGACTTTGTCCTTGGCAATCTGCAAGTGCCTTCCTGACTTAAGGTGATGCATGTTGCTGGCTGTGTGAAATGTTTCTTTATTTATGAATAGAAGCATCTATTACATTAACATCCCATCTTTTCTCTAATGAGCTCAGGTCAGCACAAGAAGTTGACCTTCTTATGTGCATGTTGTTGTTGTTACATGCCTAGAAGTTGTTTCTGACGTATCGCAACCCTAAGGGAATCATGGGGTTTTCCTGGCAAGATTTATTCAGAGGAGGTTTGCCATTGCCTTCCTCTGAGGGTGAGAGAGAGTGACTTGCCCAGTCAGCGTGTGGGTTTCATGTCTGACCTGGGAATCAAACCCTGATCTCCAGAATCATAGTCCAACACTCAAACCACTGAACCATACTGGCTCCCCTTATGTGCCTACATCCATATAGAAAATATAAGATAGGAAATTTAGCAGAGAATTGTCAATGCCTTTCTCTTGCTTTGCCTTTCTCCCTCCATTATAATCTTTTACTTGCTCTCCCTTCTTTAGTTTACTGATTCCCAGCAAAAAATCCGAGGGTTAAGACAAGGTGAGTGACAGGAGCCCTGGGACAGAAACAGCAAAGCCAACTTTACCTGTCACTCATCTTATTTGTTGATTGATTTCATTTGATTGATTGATTCCATTTCATTTATATTACAGCTTTTTCTTTATTTAGTACCCAAGGTAGCCTTGATCTCTCCCTTGATCTGGTAAACTCGGGCCTCAAGGTTACTGCCAATTGGGACAAGCAGCTGTGTTGATCAGTGGATTCAATGAGGGTAATACATGACTGGTCTTTCCTTTTATTCTTTTTTTTCTAATTAAATTTTTCTTGAGTTTTTACAATAAAACACATAAAGTCTGTAGAACAATGACAATAACAACAACAATAACACAAACAACAATTAAGTATAAGAGCTAAAGTATATATCTGATGGGTAGTTATTCTGCAGCAGAATCAAAAAATCAGTTCTCAGGAAAGCCAGAGAGTCTGGTATGTCAAGGTATAGAGTGTCTGTCTAAAGATCAATCTTTGAAGTAAGAGGTTGGATCCAGTGGGATTGATGATTAACTTAGGGCATTTACAGACTGCCAGAAATAATGCAGCTTGAGACCACTTAATTGCCTTGGCTCAATGCTAGGGAATCATGGGAACTGTAGTTTATTGTGGCACTAGAGCTCTCTGACAGAGAAGGCTCAATGTCTTAGAAAAAACTACAATTCCCTGATTCCATAGCATTGATCCAGGGCAGTTGAAGTGGTCTCAAGCTGCATTATTTCTGACAGTCTGTAAAGGCCCAAAGTCAATAAAGATCATCCAGTCTTCTTGAAATGTGTCAGTCTTTTTGTGG